AGGCCCTCTCTAGCAGCTTGCTCCCACAGCTTGGGTCTGCACGGATTCCTGCAACACCAAGAGAGCAGGCTTTTCCTGTGCAATGGATATATAGCCCTCTTGGCTCCACATGCCATAGGGATTTGTCACAGGCCATAGGGATTTGTAGGTTAGAATGACAGTCATTTCATTAACATGGCTGATGTCTCGAACTCCCAGAATCCTACGCGTTCTGTAGCAAAGTCTATAAGCATGGAGTAACTTGACACTTGCCCTACTGGTCAGAGGAGAATGAAGCAACAGTATAATAACTTCAGCAAAAAAATAAATAAATAAAGGGCAGCAGATAAATGCTTTTGAAGCAAAGTCTTTGTCTTACTCCATAATAGTCTGGTACCTTGCTGCTCTTGGTTTGCAGAGAAAGGCATGGGGCCTGTCTGACCAGATCTCCAGCATTGCTGTGAACAGAGTCTAATTCTGTTGCCTATTGGACTCAAGACAATGGAAAAGGAGGGTGTTAGTACAAAATCTATATGACTGTATATCTATTTTAGAGACATCATTTATTCTGCTTTAACTATTTCAAGGACCACCCTTTTTTAATTTGCTTTTGCCCTGTCCTTACACCCCATGTATACCAGATAGGATATCTCCTGGATTTCATTAAAAGTTTACTGAGTTTAACTGGTCTAGAATTACTTTAATAGGTCACTGAATAGTTCATTTCTTTTTTAGTCAGCACAAAACTGTTTTATCATAAACAATGATATATTATGTTTTCCAAGACTAAAAAAAGACTTTCAGATTACAATATCGGTCATATTTATGGTGTAGTTTGAATTCAAGGACCATTGCTGCCCAACGAAGTGGCTCCATGATTAGCTTTATTACCATTCTAGAATTCCATTTGGCAACCATCACAATGGGGGCTGTATTCTCTCAAGGCATCTGCAGTAATATTTTAGGGTGTATCGGTCCTCCATCCATAGTGGCATCAGTATGTTGTTTATCTTATTTCTTTGTTTGTATAATAGAAATGATTCATACTCCACAAAAAGGTAACAATATGAATTATTTGTAATGATCTATTTTCAGCAGTGACATAACTATAGCTATAGTAGTTCACATGGCTGCTATACAGGCCTTTGGGAGGGAGAAGTCCAATTAGGCAGACTGCTGAGGCTATTTAAACATAGAAAATCTGTGTGCACATGAAGATAACACCAATTCATTAGAGTATCCTCAAAGTGTATCTACTGAAAAGTTATGACTTGTTTAGTTTAATGTTGGATAGAGTAGGTAAGGGTTACAATCCATGTCAGATTTTATACAAATTTTCTGTTCTGAGGACAACCAGGCAAGAAGTCTGCAACAGGGAAACAAACAACAAAATGTCCTTGCTCACTGGTCTATGTCGTTAAGACCACTGGACCATTTAAATGTTGTTTTTAAAAGCACAGGAGTGACACCTGGTTGGCGTTTGAGTGCTGTCATCTGTAAAAAACAATTAATCGTGACAAACTGATTGTGGTACATTTTGTACAAGTCCAACACTAGATTAATTGATTCCAGGAGATTGTAAGACTGGCTCTCCAGCTCTAATTGGGGTCAGGTGATGGAAACTGCATTCTTCTCCAAAGAGAGTCATTTTGAGTCCATTCTTTGTAGGACCTGAGATGCCCTAATATCATAATGTCACTCCTGTTTTTTTTTCCAGAGACACTAAGAAGAGTGTTCTTTTAATGAACTTGTAGTTACTTGTTTTTTCCTGATGGTTAATATGTCAAAAGGTTCATGGTGACAATCTAGTACAGTATAGTAGTTTTCCAAACATGGTCCAACTTACATCTCTCCCACTTTCATACCCCCAAACTTTGTGCCCATTTCTCATTTTTTACCTTTATTTGTAATTTTTGACTACTTTTTTTCTGCCTTTTTACATTTTTTTATTATGTTTATTATTGTATTTTTTTATTCTGTATGTTCCCCATTTCTTTCTTTTTATAATATATGTGTGGGTGGTAGAGGTCTGCTTTAAGGCTAGGTTCACATTAGCCACATTGTATGTTCTGGTTGTGGGACACGGGGCACAGAAGCCCATTAAAATTAATGGGCTGCCATACATGAACACAGCCCATACTAGTGTGAATAAGGTGTAACACAACCAAAGCTCATATACAATAAAAGGTCCCTTTTTGGATGTTATAAGATAGGACTACTCTAGTCCTGTCAGGGGAAAAGACAAGAGAGCCTGGGCAAATGCACCAATGTGCAATATGGCCACGCCAATTTGTGCAAAGAAGTGTGCATGTGCATAGGTGGTATACACGTAATTGTGAGTTCCTGTGCACAAAAACGCACCAGCACACGCAGGGTGCACTATTTGCTGACACTCAGTTGCCTTTATAAGGACTACAGCTCTGCTCAGTGATTGCTGGATTATGGTCAGCCCCTCCGTTCCTGTGTTCCTGAGTTTACTGCTGATTACCGATTACCGACCCGGCTTGATCCTGACCTTGTTTCTGTCTGCTGCTCTGTGTATGACCCCGGCTTGCTGTGGACATTGCTCCTGTCTGCTGCTGCTCTCTGTATGACCCCGGCTTGCTGTGGACATTGCTCCTGTCTGCTGCTGCTCTGTGTATGACCCCGGCTTGCTCTGGACCTTGCTCCTGTCTGCTGCTGCTCTGTGTATGATCCTGCTTGATCCTGACCTTGCTCCTGTCTGCTGCTCTGTGTATGACCCCGGATTTCTCTGGACCTTGCTCCTGTCTGCTGCTGCTCTGTGTATGATCCTGGCTTGATCCTGACCTTGCTCCTGTCTGCTGCTCTGTGTATGACCCCGGATTTCTCTGGACCTTGCTCCTGTCTGCTGCTGCTCTGTGTATGATCCTGGCTTGATCCTGACCTTGCTCCTGTCTGCTGCTGCTCTGTGTATGACCCCAGCTTGATCCTGACATTGCTCTTGTCTGCTGTTCCATATTGATCCTGGCTCTGGCTACTGACTACTCTACCCTTCCTCCGGGATCCACATGTTTTCTGGAGAAACTCATCCTGCAACTGGAGCACCCACGGGTTCCATCTCATCAGGCATCTCCAATCAGCAACACCTGTGCTTCTTTGAGTACTGCACCTCCTGTTTACACCTCCAGGGGCGCACTGCACTTAACCGTAAGGGGAGCCCTCTCTCTATTGCAGCCCCGGTCAGATATGTGACAAGTCCTTGTGGGCAATGTTCATTAGTACTTTTTTTTTTCCCCCCCTTTTTTTTTTTTTTTTTTTTTCTAATGGGCATGGAGTAAAGTTTTGTTTCATTTTGTTACTAGGAAGACTACACCAACATTTTTGCCACTTTCAGTGACAGTGATGCTATTTACAACCTGTGGAATGCACAGGCATGCAAAATCCTGTGCTTCTGGTGCACACAGTAGCCCTTTTTAGTCAACATATCACTTTCTGTCTTGTTTTAGGGAACAAACAATGCAATTTGATAATGTGAATAGACATTTTTTGACAATTCACAAGGAATGTTTTGTTCCTGACATTCCCACCCCTGATGACGTGATATGTGATAAGATGCTCCAGACAGAGCATAGCACGCTGACATCATCATGCCTGCCAGAATGAGTGTTGGGGATTTTACTGCTTGAATTCAGTCTGAGTAGATTTTAACCATAATAAACCTGCACTATTTTTACTGGTTCACACATTGTGGAGTGTTTTTTCTTTCTCTTTATGGTCCGTGCTGGTACAAGTTTGCTGGGGTACCTTACCAGTTTTCGGGGGATCGCTGCTGATTTTGCTCCACAGTGCCTACGAGATGACACATGTGTTACATGAGTGCATAAGAACTCAGATGATTAGGGGTCATATCATTCTGATAAGAGGCTTGTAATCCTGTCATGAAGGAGGATTGAAAGTTCACTGGATTTTGACACACATGAGGATCTTTACAATCCTTTGGACTTGTTTGGACTTTTACTATGTAGTTGCACCTTGGTGTGATAATATCTCACTGGATTATTAATGACAATACCTGATGGGATGTATTATGTTTAGCACTTTTATGTATAAAGGTTCTTAAAGGGCAGCACAGCAATACTTAGTAATTAGTAATACTTTTTATGTCTTGTATTCAGATGTTTTTCAGGCAGATTCAAAATTCTAATTTGAATTTTGATATTTTTTTTTTTTAATTTTTCATTCATATCAGTACTACACAGTGAAAGAGTTAACACATTGCATCAAAGCTTACCCTGCATGTGTTTATTTTTGTATACTTATTTGGATACTTATAGACTCCTTCAAGAGTTGGTTCTGGCCAGCTCAGTGGATTGCTTTAAAAAAGTCCTGGATTCTTTCCTAGATACACAGAATATAACTGGATACTAACATTTACAGGTAAAGTTGATCCAGGAAATATCTGATTGCCTCTCGGGGATCAGGAAGGAATTGTTTCCCTGCAGGAACAAATTGGATCATGCTTTGATGTTTTTTTTCGCCTTCCTCTGGATCAACTGTGGATGTAGGATTATAACTCTTTTTTTTACTGAACTGGATGAACTTGTCTTTTTTCATCCAGACTACCTATGTAACTATAATATCTTCAGGCTGCCACATCACATGACTAAAATAACTAAATGGGGTTGTGTTTCATTCAACCTAGATGAGTTATGGAATAGAAATGTAGAACAGTGAATCTGTAGGAAGTGCTTTTTTTTTCTTTGCTTCTTGCAGGGCTATCTATTTTATTTATTTATTTTTAAATTGGGTTTAAATGGTAATGGGCACATATTTTTATAACATATCTCAATGGACAAGGATTGTAACAGAGGGCTTGGAGCTGTCATTCTCTGCAATATTCTATTGCTTAAATGATACAATGAGACATTAAAACCTATGCATACCTAAAAAGGTCATATATTATCAGTAAAACATAAAATTATATTGCTTTGCTATTAATCAGAAAAACAGAATGTTCATGGCTTTTTCCATTTGTTTTCATAAATTAATACAATGGTATTTCAGAACACAGTTAATAATGCAAATAATCCATAAAACAGTGCACAGGGATAGGCTACAAGTAGTTGCTGTCCTTCCATTGCCAGCGTAGAGATGAAGATTTTTGAGGCTGAAAAACTGCACCACACTATTATAGCTGCTGCCAAGATTGTCCCGGCAATTCCTCTGGAAATGAAAAAAATTGTAATTATAAAGTTCCAATAAGGCTACATGTACAGTATCTAGATAGATCACAAAATGTAATCTCAGTGAAATTTCAGAAAAACATCAACTTTTTAATGAGGGTAACAAAAGCATTTAAAACCAAACTCCGCACTGATAAAAGGGACTTTTCCTCCTGCATGGGTTAAATGCTATTTTTCTAGGGGGATAGGAATAAGGCAAAATATTTATCCTATTCCTCGCTCATACAGACTTCCTCCTCTCCATAAGACTAGTTCTCCAAAGCTACTCATCTTTGCTGCTTAACCAGTCACAGGTCCCCAACGTTATCCATGGTTCTGCATTGTATGTGAGGGTGCAGAGGGTCCACTCACATTCTGGGAGTGGCAAAGATTGAAGGAAAGCACCAGATGCTAGGGGTGCAAGAAATAAGGTAAGTAATTATTTGTATTCATCATTCCTCAGACAAAATGAACTTTTAACTCTTGCAGTGCCAAGATGTCCCTACTGCAAGGCCTCTAACAATTAGTAAGAGGCAGAACTAAAACTCAAATTAAGATCAATGCTTGGTCTTAAAGATGTCACAGCTGAGCAGGTATAAATGAGAAAAAAAACTGCTCCCCCTCAGATACAGGCACTTACTCCACTTTGTTCTCACTACTCTTTGCTAGCAATTAAGCATTTTCAAGATGTCAAAAAGGGAACTGCATATTAATGTTAAGTGTAAGTGTTAATTGCTGCTTAGAGATTTAAACTCCACAATATTAAACCACATTCTGTTTTTTTATTAGATTGAGTATAGAATAACATTTTTGTTTTTGCATAAGATAAATATATATAACCTTTCTAAATTATTATTATATTATTATTATTGTTATCATCCAATGATTTTATGTCCCAGCACTGTAGAATTGTGAAAAAACATCTATGGTACAATCTTCAGTTTATGTTAGTAAAGATTGTCATCAATCCCTCTAGATACACTTTAAAATATATGTAATCCCCAACTGAATGACATTTAGTTTGCTAAAGTACCACATATTTTAAAAATAAAATTCAAGTTTTCATGACAACAGTCAACTATGCTTGCATAATGTGTATTGAAATGGTGACTTGTAGACTCTATCTGGAGAGTTCGTGACAGGGTGATAATGCAGAAGTACACTTATGAGACTGGGACATTGTCATCCTGTAACATGGAGTGACTGAATAAGGTCCTTCATGGCAGGGTGACCAGGTATAATTTTAATGAAAACTGCATATTTAAACATTTGAAAATGACTTGTGAAATTACATTAATATATTAAAACTTATATGAGATTTTATCAACTATGTTTTCATTCATTTTAAGCTCTAATTACCATAATAAATGGGCTCCAATTTGTAACTACCAGTATACAGAAAGAAGCAATGGAAGCCTTTGTATTGTCCTCAGTACTGGTTCACGTTAATAAAGTAAAGTCAGCATGTAAAGGCTGGTGTACACGGACCGAAAATTGTCCAGTTCAGCAGGAACCGGACAAAATTTTGTACCGCTGTCTGTTCAACATAAGCCGGTCTAATGACTGGCTTCTGTTGGACAGTCTGGCTGGAAAACCAGCATTTGATCAGTGCATGCAGCCAATGGCTAACGGGGAGAAGGGGTGGGGAGAGATGCTGTCAGAATATAATTATTCCCCCAGCTATACCACCTCCCTGAAAATCCTGGTGAGTACAGATTCCACCAGGACCCTTCTCATCCAACATAAATACTTTGTCTGTAGTACGCCTCTTTTGGTGACCCTCAGTCCATTAAGTAACTCCACTACCAGTTGGGAACTTGCTACTCTGCAATAACTGGTTAGTTCTTCCTTTTGCTCCCATTATGGAGCACCAGCATAGACATGCACGAGTTCACATCGGCAGACCTCTCTTATGTGTGTATTGCAGTATTTCCTATCTGCTGTTGCTTAAAACTACATTGTGTGTACCTGGCACAACCATTGTATAAGCTGTATGATGTAAATTATTTAGTGTAATCTGTTGCACACCAATAAAAAAAAAAAATAGAATACAATAACAGCAGGACGAGATCCCTGCATTCACACCAGTTGTGTGGATGCAGAGATCTGTGTTTTTTTTTTTTTTTTTTTTTCCCAGTTTAAAGGGCAGTAGTCCATAGCAGCCATTCACAATTTATCCTTCACAGACCTGAAAGTAATGTGAAATCTGAACAATAAACTCAAAACATGGCTTTGTTTGGCTTCTTGTACTTTGCGATATATCATTACCCTTTTTAATCCATTACTAATTTTAAGCTCAAAATTAATTCTTATTTTTTCTTTGGAATTATTAAAAGACCTTGGTTACCTATGAAAATTTGCAATGTGTAAAACAAAAAAAAAAAACTGTCCGTCCTTTGGATGTTGGTGATCTAACGAATAATTTATCACAAAGCATTACATGCGGCAATAATATACAAAAAGTGATGAATGTACAGAACTGCACTACAGAGATTTCTAGGTGATAGGTCCACTTATGAAGATCTACATAAATACAATTAGTGCAAGGATTATACAACCCAGAGAATGGTGTCATGATGTCTCAGGTGCAATGATTGCTAGCAACCAACCAGATTACAGTTTACTGAAGACTTTTTGGTGATTGATTGATTTTGGTTGCTTGCACATTGCTCTCTTCTCTATTAAATAAGCTTCTTGTCTCTGAAAAGAACATGCTATAAAGCCAATTGCAAACAGAAGAGATGTCTGTTGCAGTAAATTGCTACACACTGATGTTCACCTGGAGGAATAAAGGATAGTGTATGATACAAGAAGGTCCTTTCTCAGCTTTCACAATCATTATCGATGCAAGGCATCCTTTCATGTGCATAGCAATGACAATAAAATAAAACAACCCAAAATTATGAGCTTCTGTGAGTAAAGACTGGGAACCTTTAGCCTTGGTGGTAGCAATGACCAACAGGCCCTTTTATGGAAGAAGCAGTTTTTTGTTGGGTAAGGATAGTGCACCACACAAAGTACACTGCAGTGCTGCAGTGAATGGTGGTGAACGGTAAGTGTTTTCTTGGAGAACCTGGAATATGGCACTACACATTTCAAATATTTTGTATATACTGTATACAGTATATTATCTAAATACAATAAAGAATAAAATGCAATGCCATCATCATAATAAATTCTTATTGAACTTTCTTTAACAAATGAGCACAACATATTTCACAGATGTGCATTCTTCCAGCACTGACTTCCTTTACATGTCTACTTTCAGTCGCATGACATCTCAGAGCCCCAAAACCGTTGCTGGTAGACTTCCCTCTGTTAGACCTTGTGATTGACCAAGAAACAGGTAGCTATAAAATGCCCAGCAACTGAGGCTGACTGACTGAGTGTCTTGCTCTGATAGAGGTCTGAATGTGGAAGTATTAACCCAACATATATTATTTGTTCTTGCTCAGAGGGCAAAACTCCCTCTCTCTCCCAACCCAGTCCTTACTACTGGCTATTATCTTTCTTCATAATGGTTACAGTATCAGCACCTGTGGTAGTGAGCTCTTGATCCACAACTTGGGGTTCCCCAGGGTGCGGAGTCTAAGCCCCAGCCTGCTTGTTCACCAGGGCCCCTGATGGTGGGGATGGACTTGCAGCAGGCTGGGACCAGGTCGCGGCCCCCAGGTACACCCAGCTGAGGTAGAGGAGACCGCTAGAGGGAGCAGGGTACAATGGGAGAAGACACAGGGAATCCAGTAGGCAAGCCGAGGTCAGGACAGGTGGAAAACAAGCAAGGTCAGGGACGAAGCTGGGGTCGGTACACATATAGGCTATATAGGATTCACAGTAGTAACACAAGGGAGCTCCAACAACAAGACGTTTGCGCAGGCAAAGTGGGAGAGACTGAGCATGTCTTTAAATAGACAAGCCAGCTAGGAGGCGGACCAGGAAGTGATAGAAGGGAAGGACATAAAACCCAGAAGATAGCAGACAACGCCCACAGGTGAGCACAGACAAACACACATGTGAAGGAATCAAGAGCAGCAAGGAGGTAAGAATAAACACACAAGAGGCTGCTGGCTAACTTGTGACATACAGTAACATAAGGTTATATTTACATTATCTTCTAAAAATACACAGGTCTGCGACTAAAAAGCTGTTTGATTATTTTCATCTAATTTCCATGTATTTTGGTGTGCTGAAAACAAATAAGATATTGAAAAAACTCTTAGATGTCATGATTTGCCACAAAATGCTAAATTTTCTTCAAATCTATCAAATTTTTTTTATTTTTGGTATTTTTTTATATTATGGGTTTTTAACCAAATGTAAAGTCCAAATTACTGTTATTTAATTCACATAAGTGCATTTAAGATATAAAATGCCAAAAAAAACCTTAAAGGGGTTGTGCGAGTTATGTAAAAAAAAATATAGCACTGTAAATCTGATGGTCAGCAACATATACAGTGGGGATCGAAAGTTTTGGCACCCCAGCTAAAAATTTGCATTAATGTGCATAAAGAAGCCAAGGAAAGATGGAAAAATCTCCAAAAGGCATCAAATTACAGATTAGACATTCTTATAATATGTCAACAAAAGTTAGATTTTATTTCCATCATTTACACTTTCAAAATAACAGAAAACAAAAAAATGGCATCTGCAAAAGTTTGGGCACCCTGCAGAGTTAATATCTTGTACTGCCCCCTTTGGCAAGTATCACAGCTTGTAAACGCTTTTTGTAGCCAGCCAAGAGTCTTTCAATTCTTGTTTGAGGTATCTTTGCACATTTTACCTTACAAAAGTCTTCCAGTTCTTTGAGATTTCTGGGCTGTCTGTCATGCACTGCTCTTTTAAGGTCTATCCATAGATTTTCAATTATGTTGAGGTCAGGAGATTGTGTAAACCTTCAGTTTATGCCTCTTGATGTAATCCCCCGTGGATTTCGAGGTGTGTTTAGGATCATTATCCATTTGTAGAAGCCATCCTCTCTTTAACTTCAGCTCTTTCACAGAT